CAAAGTTTTAGACTTTTATTATGCTTTCTATAAGGAACTGACTGAAGTACTTTAGTCTCTTTTTGTCTCTCTTCCACACATGCTGTGGTTGGCATTAACATCTCTGAAACAGGGAACTTGAAACTTCCTTCTGGTGATGTTGTGGTTCTAGTAGCACCTCAGTTATACAATATAAATGCCTAAAAATACAAATTCTCAAATCTTTCTTTCTTGGTCAAACTTGAGAACAGCAGCAGTGAACAATTAGCATTTCTAGAATACACAATTTCAAATACTGATAACCATCCTACTTTTTAACTCTCTCTTTGTCAAACCACTAGCATGTATAACTACATGCAACTTAAATTCATTAATTTTTTAAAATATGGTTTTGTTTACTGCTTCTGTGCAAAAGGAATTCAGCATTCTCTGACACACTGTTTTATTCTTGACCACTACATATAACCTAAAAGAGCTTGATGATTCTTAAAAGCTGATGCAACCCTTTTCTTGGCTTTGCAACTTCTAGCATATGCTGGCTCTTTCTGGATGTCGAACAACTTGATATATAGCTCATGTTTCTTTACAGCTTTGAGCTCTCCATGATTATCTTTTGGATTCTCAGCAAACCATCCACATTCTCTAAAGTCTGTGACACGTTACTTCTCAAATTCTGTATGTATTACCCAGGGTGTTCTTTCTGTAATTTCTTCTCTCCTCTCTTTCTTTTGGAAATATTTTTCTTCTATATTTTCACTCTCCTTTTGTACCCTGATATATGTTTTTTTAAGTTTGGGGGCTGGATGCTACATTCATCAAGGCATAGCTAGAAACAAAAGCAGAAGTACTTCAAAATAGCTATATTCAGAACAGAGTAACCTTTTGAATCCTTTCTAGTACTCTGATTGTTTGCAGATAGAGAATAAGCCATGGTTTGAATCTGACCAACTGCTTTCACCTTTACCAGAGTTTCAATTTACTTCACACCTTCACAGGAGGTGGATACAGCAAAGAGCCTCAAAGGAACCACAAGATAAGGACAAATGGTAGCAGTCAATATGGCAGCTACGATTTATAGAATATTAGGTGCATAATCACTGCAAATCTTGTAAATATCCTTTGAGAATATAATGTTATAGAAAGATTCATGAAAACAGGTTAGTCTGGGATGTTCAACCTCAGGGTGAGATGAGAGAAAGTTGCCAATGGGGTGTTGTGAATAAGATTTTTTTTTTAAAGTGTATGTATATAAGCTTAGACATTCAGAAAAATAACAGTTTTCATTGTACCATGCCTAGATCTCAAGTATAACTATATATGACAAGAGAAAAGATAGCATCAATGTCAAAAGCTACATATACTATAAGACCAAAGTCACAAATTTGCCTCCTGGTAGTCATTTTGGAAACTGCTGGCCCAGGTAAGAATGGAAACTTACATTGTTCTTTCTTACTCTGATTATCCCCCTGCTTTAAGTGGAGGCCACTTTTAAATACTCCTCTCGTCTAGAAAGATCACCTGCTTAGCAAGTGACAAAGGCCAAGCATTTTGAGAATGCAAACAGCCAGTATGAACCAGAGCGAGGTTTACAGTTCCCAGAAATCCTTCTCTGTGCCCTATAGCTGCCTGGTGATGTTTAACAAGCAATTCTTGAGAAAAGATTTTGCTTTCTGGGTGCAAGTTATGCAAGTGGTTACATAGCATCTTCTGAAAGAGAAGGTTCTCCTTTATCTGAAATGCACTGACAGCTTCCTGTCCTTCATAGTTGTTTATTTTATTTTGTGACAAAGCCATGTATTTTTGCCTGATCACATTTGAGTTTGAAGATGGCAACCAAGGAAATATTAGCAACTCTTTTCTCTTGAAAACATGTCACCAGTCTATGAACATTACAAAAACCAAACAAAAAAACCCACGCCAAACCCTGAATATGTTTGAGAGGCTACTAAACAAAACATACCAACTACTGAAACCCAGCCTAAAAATAAAGAGTATCATTTTTCTTGATGGGCCAGAAACCAGTGTAAACTGTCCGGTAGATATACAAACAGCTTATCTAGTTAATTTCATGTTCATCTAAAGTTGATCCACTTAATTATTTCTTACATTAAACAGCCCACTGCTGCTGTTTTCTGGTTAGAAAAAGTGTCAGTGTTACAGGAGAGGGATTTTATGCTCAGAGGACCTGGGATTAGAAGAACAATCATTTTGATATTGGAGATTTGTGTTTGGAGGCAGATTGCTTTTGAGCGTGTAGAAAATTTTTATGCTGACATGCATCTGTGTTATGAAAATTTCAAACTCTGAGATGGTAGCAGATGTTATAGTCCAAAGAACCCAAACTGTTGGTTTTAGATAAAACTTCCAGTCTTGTTAGAAAACAGAAGAAAGCACATGGCATAATAGGTCAATTTAATGGCATTGTTTGCAGTAAAGCTGACATTTCAGGCATAATCTGCAGTGCTCACTTGAAGTAGGCCATTTTGCTGGGCAGAGAAGGACTTGATACATTCTTTCATATTACTGTGTCAAATTGGATTAGAACATAATAAAATGGAGAATGTAAAATAAAGGCCTTTGGGATCGCTGGTTATGCAGTGTAATAAGATGCACAAGGAATTAAAATTAATGAACTGTTCAGAAGTATGACAAACTTGTCATGTAGTTGTGCGGACCTTCCCTTTTTCTAGTACGTTTGCTTGGCTTATCCCTCCTGAGTTGCACTCTTTGTTGATCTACATCGAGTGAATTTCCTTCAGTAAGCTTGCCTAGCATTTGTCTGTTTTGTAATTATTATTATTTGAAACGATAAGATAAAATGATTGAAAACCTGCTGCAGTTGATAGTTTCTGTTTGTAACCATAAACTGCCCAACAGTGCTCAAAACTTTGCTAAAATTTATTTCAGAGATTCACTAATACTGCCTGCTGGTCTGGTTTGGAGTGCAGCCACAGGAGCATTCACTTCAGCAGCTTCACTGAGCAGCCTGTAGGATTCAGCTTCTGCTGTCAGTCTGGGAGATATCTAAGCTCCACAGGCAAGAAAATGTGCTGAAACTTGGTTTCTTAAATGATGCTTGGAGGGTTTCTCATAACTTTATGGAGGAAGTTCTAACCTTTGAAATTTTGGAAATGTTAATTAGTAAGCTGAGTACTCCACACTTTCATTTATCTGATACTCTTATCTCAGAACTCACATTAGCCAAAATTGGATTGTGTCTCCTATGTACCATGAGTCATTTGCTTTGAAAAGGTCTCTGTTAGCTGAAAACCCAATGACAAGTCTAGATGGCAGGTCATGTGTTCTGTTTGGATAAACAGGGTTACACTTCACACAGGAATGAATCTTAGTAGGAATTAATAAATGACTCATGTTTCGGTCCTGAATTTAATTTCAGAGATCACAGAAAATCTGAATACAAACTATATGCTGCATCGCTTTTGAAATTTGGAAGGGGAAGTGATTAAAAAGAAAATACCAGAGCCAATCTTTTGCCTAAGTTAAAGCATGGAAGAAGGACTAGTACATATCAAAGTAACTCCAGTGTTCACATGCAGTCAACTTTCAGTTAATTGTAAAACTGAAAAGTTGAGCTTGGGACACTTAATGCTGTACAAAGGCAGGCTTTCACTTGGAATGACTGTCATCTGCTCTGTCTTTCCCTTGTGGTTGAAGAGCAGTAACTTCTCATAGAAAAGCCAGGTTCATCCTTCTCTGACACTGAGCATCCATGCCCCGCCTGTACCTTGAGTGAGGGAACTGCTAGTGCTGCTGCCGCAGTTCCATTCTAGTGTGGAAGAGGATTGCTGCAGTGGGTGCACAGCATGTTCCACACACAAATATGGAACACTGACTAAGAACACTGAGAAATCACCTTAGAACAAGAACAACATCAATTTTCAAAAAGAAATTCCCCCCCCAAGGATTTAATCAATTTGGGCTGTAATATGGGCATGCTACCAGATCACAGCGGTATAAGGTGCGGGTCTGAATTCACAGAAGTATTTGTCTCAGAACATCCTTTGCTTTTCAATGGCTTCTTACACTGAGCTAAACATATGTTTAAATGCTTTCCTGAACTGAGGTCTCACAAACTTACACTTTGATCTTACTGTTAAAGATGTTTGGTTTATTTGGCTCTAATATGTGCACTCTGAGTACGGTTTGACACAGCAAATGAAATAGTTACTGGCTCTTGGCACTAGTACCTTCACCTTTGTGGATTTCTGTAATGTATCATTCTCACTGAAAGTCTGTTCTCCATAGGATGCACGTGATTGATTTCTAATAGTATTACAAGGAGGTTGGCTCATGTTTTGAGAAGAAAGTTCTTTCTTTTCCAAAAGTATTTTTTGTGATTTTGTACCTAATCACTAATTGGATTCCTCCACAGAATTTGATACCAGAGACTTTGGGATAACAGAAATATAGACTTGCTTTATAAGTTTCCCATTTCGCTATGTACCAAAGTGATGCCAAACAAAGAGTTAAACCAATTCAGTGTGTTTCATTGCTTTCATGGAACAGCATTGTCTGAACTCCATTTGCCTGCATTATAGATGTGGTGTTATCTCACTTTATGAGAATATAGTCTTTTGAAGGACTGAAGATCACTAGGTAAGAAATCTTGAATCTGCAGTTCTGGCTGATTAGTATGCTATAATTTATGTGGCAAATTATACAATACACAGAAAGACAGGCAAAATAAGAAAAGTAGTATTTCCTTATGTAAATTTTAGATTAAGTAAGATTAAGAGAAAAACATTGTCTAGCTTTTCTAACCTATCAGTAGGGCAATGATTAAACCCACTATCTCCTGCATAAGACATTCTTTAATATATCCAAAGAATAAGAAATGAGGACTGAAAACGTACTGTCAATTTCCTTGGATTAAGGTCAAAACTTTGGAGAGAATAGAGTATTTCCCTTCATAAATTTATCAGACAATTTCAGTTACAATCAGATTAAGGAAATAAAATCAGAAACAAAAAAATTTCAAAAAGAAAAATTATAATACTTACATTGGTGACATATTCAATATCCTTCCAAATATTACATTCCCTGGGAAAATCTGCCAAATCTAAAAAATTATCCACTATCACTTGGCCAATCAAGTCATGCCTGGAGAATCTGTCAAAGTCATACACAGAGAAATGGAGTTTTCTTGCGTTCAGATCATTGTATGGGACAGTAAATAAAAAAACTTCATCAAATACTGGATTTAGGGTCTTTCTGTGCACTTTAGTCTGGTGTTTTGTTTTCCTGTCAGGAAGCAGATATATCTTCACATATGGGTCTGAAGTTCCAGAGAAGTCCTTTGCTGGCAGGTTGATGGCCTTGTGTATCTTCACTATCAGCTGCTCTAAATCACAATCATATTTCAGAATAAAGTTCAGTTTTCCACATGCCTTGCTATTACTCCTCCGGCTATCGTCTGTGTCCACTGATCTCTGTTTATATAGCTCTGGCTTAATGCGGCCAATCCCCGTCAGTTGCTCCTGTTTCTGAACCTGCTGGATGTTGAAGTCGGGGTTGGAGAGGTTGAGCTGTCTTCGGATTGAATTATGCCTTAAGTGAAAATGAAAGAATTGAAACAGATTGTGTTGAAGATGATAAGAATCTGTGCACACACACTAAAGATCGTGTTCTCATTTGATGTATTTTTGTAATGTATGGTGGGGTCAGATTTTTAGTCACATAAAGTGATAAAGGATGATACCCAACAGCTGTGAGAGCTCACCTTCAGCATTAGACTGCTAATATCACGTAATTTTCTGTTGCTATGTCTCAAGCTAGTGGTATGCACTTTCCAAACCTGGCTGAAGAAAGTGACAAATGCAAATCCATGGCCAACGCAAATCCAAAGGATCTGCCTTATTGGCAAGGATAATGCAATATGGTAAGAACTGTCGCTGTTCTTATCAGTTACCATTTTCAACTGAATCCTTTGGATTAATGCCTATGAAATGAGTAACATTATGTAAGTGGCAGCAGGGCCTGGCCTATTATGCCAGCTGAGCTTGCTGATTTTTGGTTCTAAAGTAAAGCTGGACAAAGGAGGATAATTCCTGACATCTCTGCATTTTAATTACTTGTTGATCTCTACAACTACTTCACTTACAAGTGAGCTGTTCTGGTCTGAAATGGTTTGTTGAGCACCCCAACAATTGGTTTGTTTTTTCTCTCATACCTGGTGTAATAAGCTCTGTGGTACTTTGGCTGAAAAGCTCCTTTAGTTTCATTACTCTGAGGAGAGAAAGTTGCTTTTAGCTTCGGTCCAGTGAAATTTATTACCTGGAGTCACTCAGGTATTGTGATTGAAATTTCCACTTCATGAGATGGTAACAGAAATCAAATTTGCAAACCCTGTCAGGGTAGTGGGATGTGAAAGCTGGATTAGGTAAAATCCTAATCTTATATGAGTTGAATTCCACTTTGTTGTCCTATTCATATGCAGCAATCATTCAGTGTATTGGAGTACCACGAGTTGTGGTTGAACATAGAAAGAGCACGTGGAAAATGCTAGCACAGGATTAGTCCAAAGCTATTTATGTTGAATGTAATCAGCAATAACTCCTCTGCTATCATTGTTCATTCACTCCTTGTAAATATGAGTTTATGCATGCTTGAAACGGGAACAGCCTCTTAAATACTACCCTAATTTTTTTCTCTTGTTGCATAATAAATACATTTTATAGCTATACATTAGTCATTTCCACAATAAAATATTATCAGGTCACAAAAAAAGATTTTTATTGTTCAACTCTTAAGCTCCTCATCGCAGTGGGAGGTGCAGAGTACCCTGGGGAGGAATAAAAAGGAGAGGACTGGAGGGATGGCTCAGCGAGGATTGTAGCAGGGGCAGGTGCCTGGTCTCCGTGGCCACACAGCAAAGCCCCAGCTGGCTTCCCAGTTATACCAGAAAGCAGCAGAGACAAAGGTAAACAAACAAAGGATGCCGTACAAGGAAGATGGGCCCCTCCTGTGCAGTGAAAGAGTCTTTTGGAGAAGACATGGGCAAAAGTAAGGGGCAATGAAAGAGGAGTAAAGAGCAAAGCCAGTATCAGCAAATGGTATAGGGTAGGGGTGGGACCTGGACAAGTCATGCCCTTGTGGACAGAGGGCCAGGCTGGGAACAGCTGCCAGAAGAAAGACCTGCAGAGATTCACAGGAGTGAAGATGTTGTCCATGCACTCAGGGTGCTGAGGCAAGTTCTTTTACAGATTGGGATTGCTGCTGCTTCTTGTGAGATGACTACGCTGTGGTGATACTGTGCATTTGCCATTTGATTAAGTATCAGAATTGCTGCCCTGTTGTAGCAGAGAAAGCCTGTATCTGACTCAATACCGAAGCCACACGAGAGCTCTTGCTGTTAGATGTTGGATATGAAATCTTTTGTTGTTGATGAATGTCATGACATGCTTATTTCCCAGCAGTTTGAAAACACAGAAGCATCAGCCCTGTACTGTACTTCTGCGCTATTAGCCCTTAGTTGGAATTCAACCTTGCGTGTGGTAGGGCTCAAGCTTCAGTATCCATAATAATCGCTTTGACTTCCCCAGAGATTCCTACAACAGTATAAGCCCAAGCCATTCTTATGCTAATCCAAGGGGGAAGGGCACCTGGAGCTTTTGCTGCATAGCATTAATAATATTCTGGGGACTTCTCAAATTCTTTCTGAGACACATTTTGGACAACTGGCAATTACTGAACTGGCTGCTAGCTGCTGTCATCTTACCCATGTTCAGGTGTGCCTGCAGGCAAACCTTGGCTAAACTTGCTCTCCCAGGTGGTCAGAAAGGAGCCTAGCAAAAGCAATTGGGCTAGTGCTGTACCTTCTGTAGCTGAAGTGCATCTGCTTTGACTCAGAAATTTACTGTCTCTTCACATGCTGATCCTTCTTCTTACTGTGTGAAATATAATCCTTTTATCACCTGCCCCTGCACACACTCCCACCCTCCCTCTTTCCTCTTCCCTCCTGTACTGGTTCTCCAGTTCCCCGGAGACATCACTGATTCTTGTTCAGTCACTTTTCCCCCCATGGTTGTAATTGTGGCTAAAATCTATGATTTTTAATCCTATTTCTAACTCTTGCAAGTGCTTCATTAGCTTGCCCTACTTTTCTTCTTTGGCCATTTTAAAAATCTTTGAGGAGATATTACCGAGTGTTCAGCATCAGCGCTAAGTGCAAATGAATATGCCTCACAAGCTAAATCTAGGCTGTTCTGGTGCTTTAAGGGACACACAGTGCTCTGTCTTGTCTAGCTTCTGGGGGAGAAGCACAAATGAGACAGTATTTGATAGACGAGTGCAATAGCATTGTGATCCTGTCCTTTTAACCTAAGAGGTTTGTGCACCTCGAAGAATAACTTTTGTGCATTTTTTTTTTTAAAAGAATGTGGCAAGTAAATTATGCATTTTTAATGGATTACTGTACTGGATAATCAAGCTGTGCTCTTTTGACTGTATCTGTATTCATTAATGTCAGAGAGAAATTGGAGTTACTGACCGAGCAGAAGAGGTTGGTTCAGTGATCTGACGATGCATTCGCACATTGTGTACGCAGTTCTCCTTCGTTCCCACCTGAGCATCTAATGGAATATCAGGGGAGGTGTGGCTGATCTTCATGGAGGACTCCGGATAGGCTGTAGGCTGACCCAGATAATCCTCGCTGTAGTCATGGTCATTGGTCTCTGTATCTGTGTAGTTCAGTGATTCTTGTTTGTTGTCTTTGTTCCCAAATGGCAGACCACGCTCTCGCCAAGGGATCCAACAAAGCTTCCAGGATACGAACAGAGAGACACCAAACAGAGCAAGACCACAGGCTGTGACAACTAAGGAGAGCAAGCTTATTGAGATATCTGCAAACAAGAAAAACACAGGCATGTCACATCTTTGTGCTCTCTGGAGCTCTGCATCTCCAAGGCATACAATATGTGAAGTAATCATCTCTGGATTGCAGATCTACAAAAATTAAATTCTGGTCCCTGCAACAGACATGTAATAGAAACACATTAAATATTGTCTTCTCCTCCCCCCTCCCCCCCAAGAAAAAAATTAACCTTGTTTGGAATTCATTATAAGGCTTATCGTGGCAGAACTTAGTTTCTATTTTCCCTCCAAAAGCTGGGTGGGATGAAGGGTCATTCTAAGTAAGAAAAGGGCTGTTTATTTGTTCACCCAGCTTTCTACCCATGCAAGAGCAGTGCCTGCAGTACATTTTGTCTTTTATTTTCCTTTTATGTAGTGCACTTTCCTCCACCTCCTTTGCCAGCTCTTACTATCTTCTCTTCCAGAGGCTGTATTATACTTAAACACCATGAAAATATGCACACATGCATGTACACAACATGGATTTTTTTTAGTTATTCAAATGAAGTATCTTGTTTCATTATTTTAATTCCCTTCTAATCTTAGACTCATTCTTATGTTTGCAAATTATTTTGGACTATCAATACATGGCTTGCTATTCATAATTTAGTTTAGGTACCAATATCTCTTTGAAGCTGAGATTTTTCTGGTTTTTAACTCCGAAGGCTTTTTTTTTTCTGTTTCCAAACTTCTGATATAAAAAAGAATGTGGAGATGAGTTTTCTGTTGTTTTTCCCCACATTCCTAGCATTATCCTACTCCATAAGCATATCAGCACAAATAAGTTACAACTGGGAGAGGCTTTTTCTCTGTTTTGCTTTGGTTTAAGTTGCACGTTGGGAAAATGACTCAGTGGAACAGCTGTTTTTATGGTTACAGTGTTTTTGAAATGAGTTTCTCTGTGGATTACATAACACATCATGCCCTAAACACAATTAGTAAGAATTCTATTTTACTGCCTCAAATTATAAACACAACCTGATCAAAGCAATTTTTCACACTATGTGTAGGTTCAGAATGTCAGGCTGCATCTCTCTAGCTAACAGCTAGCCTGAATTTTCAAAGGATGGCATGAGGTTGAAATGTACTGCTCCTACTAGGACAATTATTTAAGAAGGACAATTCAGATGAAACAGCCTCAGCCAATTTGAAAAAAAAAAAAAAAAAAAGAATATTTTTCAAAAAAGTGGAAAAGTCAATACCTTCTGCCCCTGCTGTGAGTCTCATTCTCACTAGCCAGACAGATTAAATTTCTGCAGAGGGGTGAGTGACACTACCATCAGTTTCACACAGGAGCTGTTCAGTTTGTTTTGCATGCTGAAAACCAATTTTTAACAATTTTAGCCAGCGTGGCCCTTTCTGTCCTTCTTCCAGTCATATGAAGACAAAGCTCATTAACAGTGGGGACAGCACAGCAGCTGTTTGGAACTATAGCAAAGAGTTTCAGAACGGAAATTAATTAAAGAAATTCCTCCCGTGCATAAAAGGCAATTTGGGAGAAAGCAGAATGGTGGTTCTTGATATTTTTGAAATATTTACTGGTAAACAAGCCTGGCAGTGGAGGCAGAGCACAACCTCTCCATTTGATTAAAAAGCAGAGGAACTGGGATGCAGTAGTGAAAGAAGACCTTCAGAATAAAGCAATTTGTCTTGGATTCCCTGAAGGAGAAGGAAGATATACATCAGAGGTCTGCAAAAATGTCACTTTTTCAAAGAACCAAATCAAGTAAATGGTCCAGCATTGAAAGAAATGAGAAATTGGGAGTTGTCAGAACAAGCCAGAAGATTACAAGGTGAGAGAACTGGAGACTGCCCAATGCCAAGGATGTGTGAAGGTGAGGAACAATTGGAAAGGCAGACCAACATTCCCCTACCTTGAGGATGGCTTCAGTAGAGGACAGAGTCATCTAGAGAACTGACATCGTACGAAAAAATACGAGTGCAATACAAACTACTTTTCACTTGGAGAGTTTGAAGGGCTTTAATAATGTACCTCTGTATTTAACAGCATAACATTGAGAACCCTTAACTCACAGCTTACTTTCAGAGAAGCTGGGTAATAAACAGTTTAGGTAAGTTGCCAAGTTGCAGAAGAAGAAGGGATTATTTTTCATTATCCTGGTTTTACTTCTTTCTCACTCCTTAGGAACCATTTTTGTGTGGAATTTTTGTTTCTGTGGGTGGAAAAGGGACAATCATGTATCTGTCTTACTTCTATGAAAGACAGTGGGGCTAAAGGGCAGTGCTCTAAACTGTTACCTTTTATTGGACAGTAATTTTCATATACTGCACACCTGGCTGGCAATTTTCAGCAGCTGGGCAGGGCCAGTGTGAACAGCTGGGTTGAGTGCAGTCCCAAGTGAAGAGATTTTTGGCTGCATCCTGGAGCTGCTTTTATGTTAGCCATTTGCACCGTTACATACTGTATTTTCTGTACAGTTTTTACTCCCTCTTTCCAGATGTCTCAGTTTTTCTAAGCCTATTTGTCTGTATTCCCATGTGGTAGCAGTACACATCTGATGCCAGTGATGTTCTGTGCTTTGTAATGAGAGCAGGGTCAGTCTTTACCTGTTTCCCCTTACAAAAATCAGAGATCTGCAGCACAGAAAGTGTTCCTCAAAAATCCAGCTGCTTCTCAATTCACTCTGCTTTCACAAGAATTAGAGCAATGTGTTTTCCAGAGCAGTATCTGATCTAAGCCTATACTGCAACTGTGAATCAAAGTGCAGGCAAGCACTATAGGCAAGGCTGAGCAGTTTACAGGCAGGCATGGGCTTTGGGAGCAGTGAGGAAAGGCGCTCACTATTTCAGAAGGAAGGTTTTTTTCAGTAGCATCGCAACATATAAATTCAGCGTGCATGTTTTGCCGTGTTTTTGATGGTCATCTGTGCTCACTTTTAGCATTTGGCCAGTTCCATTAGTGGCTCACTGAAATACCTACTCTCCGTACCTACTCTGCATTGATACGAGCTCTTGATGCTGTGCAATGCAGAACCTCGTGAACAGAAGGCAGCCCCTGGGCCACAGGTACTTGCATTGATCTCTTTCCTCGTGCAACCACGAAGCCAGCCAAGTGTCTTGAGGTGTTGATATGAATACAAGTCCAAATTTCGTAACTAGAGCTTCTTGATCATGGCTGCAGAGTGACCTGAGCTCCCAAATTCCAGCAGGTCAGAATACCTGGACAATATTATGTGTTGATAATGGGTAATTTGTTCCATCGAAAGTAAGCCCAAATTTTTTGTTAAAAACATGGTCTTTTAAAATGGGTTAAAGGAACCAATCAATGCAATTGCATACACAAACAGTTAATTTTTATAAGCACATTCTCTGCAATGTGCTTTCATATACCAGTAGAGGCAGCCTTTTGATAGACAGAAAATAAGAAGACAGATCTTACGGGTGGCCCCAGATTAAACACTCTTGAGACTAGAGAGCTTCCTCTAATTTTTTGCCTATTAAGACTGTAACTTCATTGTTAGAGGACTTGGAAGACACTGCCATTATTTCCATGCAGTTGTAATAACTCAGGTACTCAGCTGTGGTTTGCAGTAAGGCCACAGACACATAGGTTCTCTGAATATCTTGCTCATGGCATGTCTTAAAGATATTCTGATGTACTAATCAATTTTTGACCAGGTTTTCACGTTTGAATCCTTTTTAATCTACTGACTTTCAATTTCTTATTAATCTCCTATACTTATCAGCATAATTAGTGCATTTGTTCATTTTTTGGTAGCAATCACAAGGTTAAAACAATCCAGAAATAGCAAGTAAAATAATAGAATTTTCTACCTATGGATCACATCATCAGTTATTATCACAGACTGGAGAGATGAGCATGGCCTTTGTCTCTGGGACAGATTTTATTACAATCAGTTTTATGACAGCTTTATCAAAAAGACCTAGTTTGGTTATTGAGTCATTGTTGGAACATTTTTAAATGTTTTACATTTTAAAGTAGACCTGTTATACAAAAAAAGAAAAATCCCACTCTTTATGTCAAGAGAATGTATGATAGGAATATAAATTCTCTTGTCTTCACATTACCCTATTAAACAGAATCACAGAATCATTGGGGAAGGGACCCTCCAGATCATCTAGTTCAACACCCTGCTCAAGCAAGATCACCTAAAGCAGGCTGCCCAGGACCATGCCCAGACAAAATCTCTCCGAAAATGGAAACTCCACAGCCTCTGTGGGCAACCTATTCCAAAGTTTGACGACCCTCAAACAGGCTGAGAATGTAATTTTGTTTTGGTAGGGATAAGATAGTAAGTGGGTAACATTTTTTTAGATCACAATACAAAAATATCAATGAAGCTCTAAGATATAACTACACTTTGTAGATTATCTAGTAAAAAAAAAAAAAGCCTCTATTTATATTGCGCAGGTTTTTAGTACAGATCTACTGAACATAAGCTTTTCTATTGACTGTGAATGAAATCATAGATCGTTCCAAAAGAATTTTAGGTAGTGTTGAATTTATATATACATACTGCATGTTTCTTGTTCAGTATTGGAGGTTGTAAGACCAAAGGTAAATGTATAATGATTCTATTCAAATTCTGACAGTACAAAACTGGTGTTCTATCAAATGAACTCCTTTCCCAACAAACTGGCTGTAAACTGGTTTAACTTGAAGATGAAAGAGTTTTACCAGAAAACCTAACTGGGAGAGTTCTTTTATACAAGTTCTTATTGAAATAAAACAAGCTTTCTTCTCTATGCTTACTTACTTTTATATTAAAATGAGTATTCAGATATTCCAGCATTATTGTAATACACACATTGATTTATTAGGTGAAGTTTGGCTAGTAAGAAGTGAAAAAAAATTTAGTAATTTAAAATCTTGCAATAGAAGCAATCTTTTCTGATTTAAAACCCAACAAATTTTGAAAGGCGTTCGATTAAAATGGTAAAATTAACTTGTTCTGAATAAACATGTTACTAATCTTTAGGATATATTGGGACAGGTCACTCAATCTGT